TATATATTAAATGTATTTCAGATAATTTGAACATCAGCCTTGCAAAAAACACTTTCAGCCTTACCCAACTTTCCAACATTTATTATTCTTTTTGAACCTCTTTATTTATTATTTTACACAATAAAACTTGCTATATTTTACATAATTGACGCTGGTATGACAAACATATCCCAAAAACTTGGCAAAAAAATGAAAAAAATTAAAATAAAGAGAAGAGAGAAAACTCCCATTCGAAGCGAAAAGGCCCTGAGGTGGGGCCCAGACAAGGCTATATCCCAAAACTTGGCAAAAAAATGAAAAAAAATAAAATAAAGAGAAGAGAGAAAACTCCCATTCAAAGCGAAAAGGCCCTGAGGTGGGGCCCAGACAAGGCTTTAAAACACAGCTGATGAGGAATAAGTGAGCTGAACGTCTTAGCTTCGTTGCAGCAACCTGCAACATTGTCTGTTGCTAAAGTGATCATGATTTACACAAATTTTATGAAATGTGGCCAATTGAATGCGTCATTCGGTCGATGAGTGGGAGTCGAGTTGTGGAACTATGGCCGAAGAAAGTTCCAAATGCGAAACACGAACGGCTCCGATGAGCCGCTCGGGGAGCTCCTCGTAAGTGTTAGCCTGTTTCAGACCATTATAGAATGTACAATCAGTTTTAGCAGAAAAAAAATGCAGCAGCGGTAACAAAATCCACCATGAAGAATAATTGTTGGCTGCAACATAACATCCAATTCCAACGTATTTGCATATCCAATGCCCCACACTTTACTTTTTTACATTTATACCACCTATATCAAGGGGGGAACCACTCTCTATTTTCAGGGGGGTAACTTTTTTCAATTTTTCATTATGATTCACGAGAAAATGAGACAATTGTAAAAGATTCTCTTGATCAATTGATTCATGAATATATCTAGGGGCGAACCCAACCTCTTTTTTGAAGGGGGCAAACGTTTTTCACTTTTTTGTTATGATTCATAAGAAAATGAAACAGTTCCAAAAACTTCCCTAGACTATATGATCTACGACAAGGAGAATTGCGTGTAACTCAATATTACAACACTCTCACACGTTATTGGCTGCAGCCAAAAATTCCCCCATGACTTTGCCTTGCATAGAAAAATTATTGAAAAAAAAGACCATCAAATTCCTTCATGGCCTCGATAAAGATCTAGATGAAGTTAGGGGGGAGAACCATGATAATTAAACCCGATCCTACCATTCAGGGGTATTTTTAGAAGCACGAAGGGAGAAAAGTAGAAAGAAGATGATGACAGACAATCAACCACACCATCTATTGAAGGGTCAACCTTCTACACTCATAACCTCTCTCAGGATAATAAACCTAGGAATGGATATTGTGAGAAAACTGATCATGTGAAGGAAACATGTTGAAGATAGCACGAAAAACCTACAAATTGGAAGCCATCCAAAATAAAACATGATAGAGAAAATTGTGCAAATACTGTTGTCACAACCAATAACAATGCAGAATTCAGTCCATTCACCAGGAAGCAAATTGAGGCACCATAGGAAATGTTAAGTTATGGTTATAGTTATGAACAAGTACCACAATCCTCTAACGAGCAACTGACCAATCAGTTGGCACACGAGGTATCTTACCTCATGTTCTTAATGTTAAAAAATAAACTAACGCATTGGATAGTCGACTCCGGAACCTCAGATCATATAACGAAAGATATCAATTTCTTCAAAAATTATAACCCATACATCAGTCACTTTGCAGTTCGAACAACAGAGAATTCGTTCTCTCCAGTAGTAGGAATTACATCAATCAAATTGATAATGGATGTTTTCTTCTACTGTGTTCTTTGTATTTCAAAATTAGATTTCAATCTATTCTCAATCAACAAACATACTCGTGACTTAAAATTTTTATTTCATTTTTTTTTAATTTTTATATAATAGATTGAGGAAAAGTGATTGGCAATGCTGAGATGTTGGTGGTCTATATATGCTCGAAGAAAAGAATCTCATCGGTAGACAAGTTCATCCGTCAAATAACATTTCTAAGTCTAGTTCAAAATCTGTTAATCTAATTTCTAATTCCCAATTTTCTTTATTTGAAAGTCAAGTCATGTCAAGGTTTGTCACCTTGGTCATCCAAATTATACTTATATTGAAAAAATATTTTCCCATATTTTTATCAATAAGTTTAATTTCTATAAATGTCAAATGTGTCAACTTGCAAAGCATACCAGACATACATATTCTAAACTACAATAGAAGCCCTCAAATCCCTTTATTGTAATTTATAGTGATATCTGGGGACTCTCTCTAATAAAAAATATAAGCAGGGCATGATGGTTTCTATCTTTCATAAATAATCATACTAGAACGACTTGAATATTCCTTATGAAAGAAAAAAAATCTGAAACCGCCACCATTTTTTAATCCTTCCACTTCATGATCCTTACTCAATTCCAAAGCAAAATTCAAGTTCTTAAAGCTGATAATACTAAGAAATATTTTAATTACATTCTTAGTCCTAATATTTCCAAGCATGTTATCATCCATATAAGTTCTTGTGTGGATACTCCTAAAAAAAATTGGGCTGCTGAGAGTAAAAACAGACATTTACTTGAAGTGACCTGTGTTATTATGATCTTTAATCATGTGCCAAACACTTAAGGGGGGAGCCATACTCACAACCACATATCACAAAATGGTGTTGTGGAAACAAACATTTACTTGAAGTGACCCGTGTTATTACGATCTTTAATCATGTGTCAAACACTCAAGGGGAGAAGCCATACTCACAGCCATTCTATTGATATGTGGTTGTGAGTATGGCTTCTCCCTATAAGTGTTTATGCACATGATTAAAGATCATAATAACACGAGTCACTTCAAGTAAATGTCAAGGCCTACATAACAAAATGTGGCAGACGTCCATGGGAACCATGTCGCATCATACTTGTTCGTATAGCAGGTCTCTAGTGGAGAAGTCGACAAGGCATTATTGATCCACAAGTCTCATTGCCCTTCTTCAGCCAGGAAAGAGAATATGACCGGAAATGCTTCTGTGTGTCCAATTCTAACTTTTTTTACCATGAGCATGGACACCATGTTCTCGCAGCTCCCACTATCGATGATTAGGCTGCAGGCCTTCCTCTTAACGGTGCACTTGGTGTGAAAAATGTTATGCCTTAGCCAAGATTGGCCCCGCTCGGGCTCAGACTGCAGTATTCGCTGAACGACTAATACTTCTACTTCGTCCATATGGAGTTGACACTCTTCTTCTGAACTCCCCTATGATTTCTCATCTACTTCCTCGACGATGCCTTGATCTGTGAGTGCGATGACTCGGCTTGTTGGGCAGCTAGAGGCTATGTGACAGTAGCCATGACACCTGAAACACTTCATGGCTGACACTGTATTGGAGGAACTACCTTTCTCTGACTTCTTCCTGCTCTTTCTTTCCCCTCGGATCTGCTCTATCAGTTCCTTATCCAATTCTGTTAATTCCTCCTGAGGCACTCTTGCGGTTTTAGATCCCCTCGGATATGCTCTATCAGTTCCTTATCCAATTTTGTTAATTCCTCCTGAGGCACTCTTGCGGTTTTAGAAGTAGCAGGTGACTGTTTGGTTGAAGAACAACGGTTGCCTGTTTTGCTTCTGCTGTCTTTCCAGCTTTAGGGCTAGTGTCTGGAAATCCCCCGACGTCCAATATGGTTATAGTTGTACCACATTGCTAATGGCTTTAAACCCCCGAGATATTTGGTGATCCTATGTTCTTATGAATCTGTCAGTTCACACTTTAGCTGCGGGTGACGAACTGGGACGTGAACTCCTCAACTGATGGATCTCGTTGCTACAAGTTGTGAATTTTTAAGAACATGTTCTGACGATACTACGGTGGGAGGTATTTTTTTTACATTGCCTTATTCATCTTCTGCCATTTAGTTATCTTCTCACTTCTTTCTCTCCTGAACCTTCATAGATTTTCCCACCATATGGAGGAATTTTTCTTTAGTTTAATTACAACTAACTTGACTCACTTGTCATGTGGTACATCTTTACACTTGAAGATTCATTCGACTGATTACAGTCAATCGATAAACTCATCGGGGTCCATGTCTCCCTCGAACTCTAGGAGGCCCATCTTAATTCCAAAGTCCAACGGACCTTCATAAGCGGCCTCTTCTCTTGGCCTCCTTTAATATTGGTTATCAAAACGGCGCGACAAATATTCTTCGTCACTGTGATCTTACTTGTAGAATTAATTAATCTCCTCCTCCCTATCTTCCCTTCGGCTCTCCTGATCACAATCAAAGGTAACCTATTCTTGATTTCTAGCTCTGTTAGTTTCCGTTATAGATGACGGATTTCTCGTTGAATCTCTCCCGGGTCGAGCCCAGTGTACCTCTTCACGGTGGCATGACTAGGGATGGGAATCAACAGGAAAAAAATTTGGTAGAGGTGGCTTGGGTAGGGGCGGATGCTAGAAGACCCTAGGATGGGATTAGGTTTAAGCTAGCTCTGATACTAAATGATACCGGAACTAGTAGGAAGAATAATAGAACAAAAATAAACTTTTCTTAATATAGAAATAGGCTACTTTGGATTTTAGATTCCCGAAATACTCTTGAGGAACAATTTCCACAATTTATCATGAAAGATACTGATGCAGATTTCGTGAAAGATTATGTTTTTCCCGAATATACACCAACAAACATTTACTTCAATAATGTCGTTGATGAGATTTTGCCTAAGGTGAAGAAAGGTATGAAATTTTGGTCGTCAAACCTTATATTTCGCAATTTGTCAGCAAGCCGCGGACGATGACCTTATATTTCGCAATTTGTCAGCAAGCCGCGGACTCGAAAAATTATTTCAGAGCATGAGCTGAAAAATTTTGAGACACTTTGAAAGCAAAATTGTTCAAAGGATACAAGGAAAGTACATCAATATTCTAAAGGGACTGGAGCTCCACAAAAATAAATTTTCAGACCACAAACAGGATAAGATAGTTGACCACGTGTTAGACTTGAGGGATGGAGGGCATGCAGGATATTTGAGGACGAGGACTTATTTAAAGCCATATAACTGGATGAGAGGAAAATGCGAGATTAAGACATAATGCGGTTGTTGTTATAACTTATGATAAATAAGGGAATCTCAAGGTTTTATCAGGCATGATGAAGCAAACCTGATGCCTCCACTGATAAAGAAAATAATCAAGAGAGTGGTGACTTGGCATGTGTTGCTTGCAGATTGTGTGTCAAACAACTACATTATCGATATATATGAAGGAGATTGTATTCCTCCACATACTTACCTCCATGATTTCATATAGCCGTTTTGTACTGTTTATTATAAACAAATGCAACATCATGTTTGACACTGAGCTCCAGATAGTTGGCCCAGGAGAGTTCCGAGGACTGCTGGAGACTCCATTGCTTGTGGGATATGTTCTAGAACTTAAAGGGAATGGAGCGGACAGAGCGAAGCATTGTATTCCTATAATATCATACAAAAGGATCTCTATTACTTTTAGAATGATGGATAAATAAATGTACCTTTCAAATACAAGCCAGATATGAAAGTTGAAGGAACTGCAACCCCTCGAGCTATGATGTGCTCAGAAACAACACATC